TTATATCTATTTAAAAAATTTAAAGCTGTGCTAACTTTCTTGGGATACCTTTTTGCTTTTGCTTTGCCTAACGGTTGAATGTTTACACGAATATACTAATAATCGTACAACAAGCCAACAGCGTTGTTACCACACCAGAAAACTATTGAATATAATCCACCGACGAGAACGACAAATATCTAGCCAATGATACATTGAATAGTTAACATTTTTTAGTAGGTGTAATAACAATGCTGTCGGCTTGTTGTACGATTATTAGTATATTCGTGTAAACATTCAACCGTTAGGCAAAGCAAAAGCAAAAAGGTATCCCAAGAAAGTTAGCACAGCTTTAAATTTTTTAAATAGATATAAATAAAACTGTAAAAATATTGTTCATTTGGTTAAAATCTCAATGAATATGTTTGTGTTGTACATTATAATTTGTTGAGAAATAAAAACGTGAGATGCTTGCTGAAAAATTTGGTGATCAAAAGTATCTTTTTTTGGTAATCATTTGTATCTAAATATGTTTGGTGATCAACAGTTCAACAGTACATTTACTCCATTTTTTATATAGAATACTTTAGAAAAATGCCATTCCATTTTGGATAATCACAAATTTTGAATTGAAAGAATAATAAAAATGACCATACATATAACTGTGGTTAACATCACATCGTTCAATTTGAGCAGTATTTTCGATACCTCTAGAATCCTCTAAACGTCTTAAATTTCATTGGAATCTACGTTGTTTATTACATATATGTCTATTTTTTAAGAAAATTTTATTCAAGATTGATAGATCATTAGAGAGTAAACAAAAAAAAACGAAAAATCAGAAAAAAAAACCTACATAATAATATTCATTTTTTTCTGATATAATTTACTTGATTCGTCTTGAAAGATCAAATACTGCTGATTTAGAAAACCTTCATGTGCACGGCAACAAGACAATATAATCTAAAACAAGTATTGTTTTTTTTTTCAGGGATATGACGGTTAGAATAAATTGTTGTGGCAAAATGGCCCGAGTATTTCAACAGTTCTGCTTAAGTTTAATCGAATTTTTTTTCTGAGCTTTTAGTTATCTCTCAATCAGTTCTACATGAGACATCAGAGTAAAACACTTTTGGAGAAAAAAACTGAAGATAAAGACGAAAATTTAGTTTATTTTTAAGAATTTTCATCAAGTTTTGAAATTTGGAGATTTTTAACATTTTCGCACAACAATCGTTGGGAAAAGCTACAAGTAACTTATTAGCAGGTAACTCGATGAGCTCTATCCAAACCATACTGCTCGTTTTTGGATTATTAGTACTTTTTAGAATTCTGATTAAATTGAAAGAGAAATTTTTGGGCTCATATGACAGCCATTTTTCTCGTAAATATTTCAAAAAGTTAATATTGAATGGGAAAATAAATTGGGAAATAAAAAATAAAAAAAATTATTCAATCTTTACGTTTACTGATGCATGCTATAATCAGTCGTTTATTTACTCGCATAATGTTATTATTATAAAAAATTGGTATTTTTTTGTAATTTGTCTGTTTTTCTCTCGTTTGAAGGTTGATCTAATCAAAGAAGATGGCGATAATCATGTAATAAATTTACTGTAATTCATCGTAATGGTAGATAGTTGTATTTATCAGCTGTAAAACAGATTTCCTAGTGATCGATTCTTACAAAAGAACCTGATAAGAAACTTATAAGAATCCGCTACGACTAGTATAAGAATCTTATTAGATTCTTACATAAGAGATCCGCACGAAAATGACTAGAATCTGATAAAAAGCAGATAAGGATCAGATAAGAATCCTGTAAGAATTCGACAAGAAAAGGACAAGAACTTCCAATGTTTTTTTTCCTTCTTTAGTTAGCTGTATAATTCATTATTGAATGCGTAAGAGGTCTCGAGGCATTTTCAAAACAACCAGTCTTACCTGTAAAGAAACTGTGAAAAAATTTCCAGGAAATCAGTGGTGCTTATATAGTATGTGCTTCTGCAAAATTAAACGGTAGTTGGCTTTTAGTAAGAATTTCATAAGGAAGTGTTAAGAAAGTGATAGGAACGTCTTATCAAAGTCACAGCTCATTCTTATTTAAATCTTACCTGATTCTTATCGGATACGTACGAAATATTTGCCATTCTTATGTAAGAATCCGATAAGACTTGCATAAGATTCTTACCAGAAATAACGAAAAATGTTTGTCTAGGGTTATTAAAGTCAATAATAATGTATGGATGCAATCAAAGATTAGATTCGAGCTCCATATCGATAGTAGAGATCCGAGATGACTAAACCTACTAACTAAATAACTCATTTAATAGTGAACCTATACAGAATGTGAAGTTTTTCAAACAACATTTGTGACACATTCTAATATTGTTTTACATAATAATTTTTGAACAGTGTTACATTCATCTAGACCTGCTTCTTACAAAAGAAAAAGCGGTATAAAAACGTATGAAGTTCTTTTTTTTTTGTCTAGGATGGATGCGACCAACCGCATAAAAAAAAAGTTAAATTATCATAACTAATTGTCTATGGCAATGAACTTCAAGGATAAGTGCTTTAGAGGAAGAGGAAAAAAATAATTCCTTTTTTTTGTGATTCACACTTACGTTTGACACGTCTGAAAATCAATATATGTCGATGAAAAACAGAAACTATCAAATAAACGAAAAGTCGATACAAATATTGATATAGTATGCATATGAATCCATGAAATCAAAAGAAATAAAATTCAATTTATTGAAGTGAAAGGAGGCTACTGATGACAAAAAACATTTATGAGGGTTCATTTTAGTATCTTGTTGTTGGTCCTATTTGTTACATTTCAACAATATTTCGAGAATGTTCAGGCGACTGTCACCTATACATGTAATCCACTTGCGACTTGTGGTTGTTCAAAATATCCAGCTGTTCTATCGAAAATCGTCGGGGGTGAGACGGTGAAAACAAATTCATGGGGATGGGCGGTATCTCTACGTGTGAATGGAAGACATAGATGTGGAGCAACTGTCATATCTGCCTTCTATATGATAACAGCTGCTCATTGTCTAATTAATATTCCATCATTATCGACTGTTTCAGTTGTGGTTGGTATTAATACACTTTCTCAAGTTGGTCAGACACGAATGATATCAAAATCGCATATTCATCCACAGTATAACTCTATCACATTTGAAAATGACATTGCCATCATTAAATTATCGACTTCGCTAGACATGACTGACTCACTAGTATCAAAGATATGTCTTCCAATAATTGATCCAAATCTACTAACAACTCAGGATTATCCAGCCATTGGTACTGATTTAGTTGCCGTTGGTTGGGGTGCTCTTACCTCGGACAGTCAAATGGCCTCTTCTACTCTTCAACAAGTGACAGTTCAAGCGATATCAAAAACAGCAACGACGTGTAAAACAATCCTACGAAATTCAGCGTTGCAGTTTTGTGCAGGAGTGGCGGGGGGAGGAAAGGGTACGTAAATCTTCATCTTTATATGCTCTTCAAATGAGTTAGAATACTTTATGTTTCTCTTCTAGACACATGTCAGGGAGACTCTGGAGGGCCACTAATGATGTTTCAATCAAGTAGTCAATGGCAATTAGTTGGTATCACATCATATGGTGTTGAGTGCGCAACACCCACTTATTCAGGAGTGTACACAAAAGTTGCTTACTTTCAAAATTGGATTAACTCTATTATTTCTCCTGAAAGTACCGCCAACATAACGATGACTACTGCGAATAACGAAATTACAACGCTAAATAACGTGCGTGTGACAAATTCGACAGCGGCACAATTTAGAATAAACATCTATTATTCAATAATTATTACTCTGTACTACTATTTCCTTATGATATAAAAATATATCCGGAATAAAGTATATTCCTACCCGTTTACGGCGTAGAATATTTCAATCGAAATATAATAAATTTCTGGTACTCTAAGATCTTTTTCGTTTGTATACGTGTAGCAACTGATCTCTAAACAGATAATGTTGTTCTGAAAATACTGCTCCAGATGATTTTTAGAAGTTTTTAGTTTAGTGCATAATTATAGTACATAACTATAATCATCATTTGATTTACTACATGATTCGAAAATGGAAGTAGATAATGTTCCATTATTTAAATGTTTTTCAATTACAGCGTTGAGCACGTGTTCTGTCCAATAATTTTACTCGATAAACGCATAGTAGGCAATCTCCGGGACATTAGGTGAAAAATCGAAAATGTACTTTTTAAGATTCAGCCAGTGAGTAACATACTTCAAATTGCGGTCTATTTAATAGCATAAAAGTTGTTGTTCCGGTTGCCATAGTTCTCCCAAAAATCCATAGTGATAATTTCGCCTAAAAACTTAACTATTGAGAAATAAAAACCTTTTCTGCCTAAATTAAAAGGTATCATTGAAAAACTCATACATATTCTGAAACTACGCCTTCCGATCTATCGATTCATAATAAACGTTTTTGCTTGGCGTTTTGGCGTCGGAAGAAATAATTTTTCTTTGTACACTATTCCGAAAAGCTATGTTCAGTATAGTGAGTTTCCACATTTTTTTATAGCGCCAAATTTGATGAAATTTTAGCAGAATAGCCCTCTGCTTACCATACATCTATATGGATAGCACCAATTAGCGTCAAAGTTTCTGAGACGACTTACAGGTTTTCCAAACAAACCTTGATCGTGTTCTATAAATTTCCTCTAGACCCTCTTTAAAAAGTATCTTTCTGTATTCATAATATTTTTCTGCATAGGTAGGACACAAACGTCCGTAAGATCGTATTTAACCACGTTCCTCATAGCTATGCACTTTATTTGCGCTCAGTTGTGTGTGAAGATGAAGAAAGACAGAAATTATAAGTTTTATCATAAGAACTATGTTATATATATACTCAATATCACAGCAAAATTTATGCGGTAAGAATGAGTCATCGGTTCTTGCAAGATCATATAAGATCTTATAACAAGAAATCGTATGATCTTACAATAAGAAATAAATACAAGTCACGTCGCTCAATGGTAAGATCTTGTAAGATCATACGCTTTCGTGTTACAAGGTCTTGTCACGTCAGATCCTGTGACAAGAAGTTACAAGATTCCGCAGGATCTTACAATATCCTAAGACAAGATCTTATTACAAGATTTCATAAGAAAAACGGCAGATCTTGTATCATCTTGTAAGATGAGTTTCACCTGGAAAGATCTCAAAATAAATGCACCAAATGGTTGATTATCGTCTCTATGAGTTTCCTCGGTGTAATATCGCTTTGTTGTTGATGACTTACAGGATGATACTAGTTCTCGGCTCTAGCAACGAACTGTTCATAGCATTAGTATTTTTCGGATACACATCCTCTGTAAGTACAGGCGTGATGTTTCATCATATACACCAAACGTTTCCTTACGGTACAATCCATAGACGAGCAGTACGATATCAATCTATGTCACGTATATTTCGAGATCTAATTCCAATTTCATGGCAAACCAGAACTGAAAAATATAGATGGATACCACCATTAGATCAACCGTTGATAATAATCTTGAAGCATTCACTTTCGAATTTGATTTTTCAGAATACCTTCTGACTTAGCCATACTGCAAAAAAAACATTTAAACCCCTCCACAGAATAAAAGTCCACTGGGCTTCTAATTTGTTTTGAAAATTAGAAGTTTGGATATGGGGTTTTATTGCGATCAATTTTTCTCATAGTACAGCTAAGATTTGATTAGCTTACAGGCAGAAAAAATGTTATAATTTTGCAAATCGAGATTATCAAGTTGTCTGACAACTTTCAGAGTGCTTATCATAGTTTCTTAGGAACTACGAACTGGTTATCAATTCTTTTCAGGTTATATATTATCAAATCGACATAGTAGTATACTGTTTACACGACGTTTTACATTCACATACTCGGTACCCTTAGCAATTCGTGGATCTTGCCATAGATATGAAAAACTGTGTTTAACACCATATATTGATTTTGAACATGCCGAGTTTTGAAGGAATGTAAAAGAGACTTCTGCTAGACATACACGGATATAGTTCTGCTAGACGACCTCATCATGATAGCTTATGCACAGTTCAGATGGAAAACGGGCTATATTGTAATTATCGTCGCAGAAATATAAAATAAACGTGTGACTACACAATAACGGTCTTTCACTCCTTGAAACATAGGTAATTCAAATCTTCTAAGTATTATAATAATTGATAGTGTATCGTCCCACAGTGACATTTATTTTTAAATTTAACAAATTATCGCGCAATTCGTATTTGCCCTTAGTCAGCTTTCTCACAAGTCGCATCCTTCAATCAAAGACTTGCTTGCATTGCTGCTAAGTCAATAAAAAATCTCAAAATTTCGTCTCTGAATTATACATAATCTTATAAGAACAATATTAGCTTCTGCTCTTTCATTGTTCTGGACACTATATAAATATACTGTACAGCATGTAACCTACACTCTCTGCTTCAAGCATTTTTTCATCATCTTCGATTAAAGACAAGTAAGAAGCTGTTTTCAAAATTTTCAAGAAAATTTGTATGTCAACTGTGATATGGTCGATTAAACCTGCTTAAACGCGAATGTGGAGTATGAAAGTGTAATAATACTTGAGAGAATCGTATGAAAGATTTTGTATAAAAATGGTACTACTATACTACACTAAGTTATATTTTCTGTTTTTTTTTGTTGCTAGAAATGAGTACATCTGTTTCTCTTTTCACAATTGTCCTATCAATGAGTTATTGCATGCGTAATTTTGAATGGTATAACGGTAGAAATAGAAAACGCCAAAAGTAAAAATGTCGAAAGCAAAAATATCGAAAGTGCTATTAATGCAGCCTCAGTACACCCGTTCGTCAACACTGCGTGAATAATCTGCAGAAGGATCTATGTCTTGCATGTACATATGATTAGTGAATGTACAGGTGCATTAATAATACTTTCGATATTTTTTCTTTCGACGTTTTTTTATTTCTATGACATTCATGCATATCGTATACGATATGCATAAATTATAATTTCTGTTCAATAGTCTTAGACAATTAATACATACGCATAAAAATTTGTTAATACTTGACAGATATTTACTTATCTGTTGACAAAAAGTATGTAGCCTAAGGAAAATTAGGCATATCAACTCAACTACAATAATACAGTAAGATGCACTGAGGTAATTTGTCCAATTTTTTTAAGTTGTCTATTTTGTGCTCATTTTGGACAGAGTGGGCTTCTAATATGTCTGAAAAGTTATAACCTTCGGATTGGGCTTCTATTCTGTAGGGGGATTTAGTTCAACTTTGTAACAACAGAAAAGGTGAAAAGGACTTCTTCACTTTCCGCACCAGATATGCTGTTCTGAAATAACTTTGTTACGTGCATCATGTTCCGAAGAGTAAGCCGGTAAAACATGGTGCACTGAAGTACCAAACTGGATGCTGGCAAAGGATCCTTTCTCCTTGAAATGCAAACCTCTGATATTACTCTTTTTCTTTTGCTTATCTTTCTGTTTTGTGATTTTACTGTGATTTATCGTAAATAATGTTGAATGAACATGTAGCAAAGAAGAAAAACTGGTATACTCGAAGCAGCTTTATCACAAGGCTGGATGATACTCCAGGCAAGAAAACAACACTGTAAAATTATAGGAGTCACGTAGCGAGAACAGTCTGTCGCACTGATTTTTTTTCATATAATGTTGGACTCATGTTGCGACATAGGGATTCCTATAGCGAGAATGAAGACTGGCTCTAGTTCAATGGATAGAAAGCGGAACTCATATAGCGACTTAGGGAGCCACGCCGCGAGTCTAGTGAAAGTATAGCAGAAATTTCTCTTCATCGCGAATTTATAGCGATCACGGTAAGAGCGTCACATTTAGCGACTAGACTGCTATTCGCGTGACGCGTTCACGCCGTGACTTTTCATCGCGAGTCACGTCGCGGTTTTTGCAAGATAGTTGACATGGGAACGCTATAGTTGAAGCACTACCGTGGCAATTTTTGACTAGACATTCAGATAATTGTTTTAGAAGCAGTGCGAAAGCCTATGAACACTCTTTTTATAGGTTGTCAGATGTGCTCTTTTCGATGATGCGCTTTATACAGTTCAAAATATTTATGTATGGGTTTCCAGAGAGCCGAACCTCTCAAATTCAGATAAAAAGCGTTTTTGAACTTTATAAAGCGCATCGTCGAAAAGAGCACATCTGACAACCTATAAAAAGGTTGTTCACCAACTTTCACACTGCTTCTATTAGATGTGTTCATGTGCCTAGTCAAAATTGTACACTGCGAAACATGCACAAGAAATTGGATAATAGAAAATGGAATCAAATGATAAGATTAGTATTGTTTACTTAATAAATTAACTTATTACTTTATAAAATTTATGATGAGATTAGACATCGTTTTCCATACTCCTTATAAAGTAAGAAATAAAAAAGGTTAACGATTTTTCGTCTAATTTTAGATA